TGGCCCGCCTGACCCGGCCCCGACCACGGCGTTGTGGGGCACGGCGTCCATTGAGCAAAGCTCATGTCTGCCGCCCGTGTCAGGTATTGCGGCACGGGCGTCGGTTGCATGCAAGACCTTGACACGGTGCCGCGGCCGCCTCGGCGGTGCTGGGCTGTCGCCGCACCCAGGGGCGGCTGCAGTGGCAGCCGGGCTGGCTCTTGGGTAAGGACATGACAAGCCCTGCAAACACCCGGCACCCTCCTGACGGATGCGATGCCGGCCAGGGCTTGATTTGCTGATTGGGAGCGTTTTATGCTTGCCTCAGCCAGCTACGAGGCGCAGCGGAGACGGCGAGCTTTGCCTTCCGGTGTGCGTTGCTGGGCGGCGAGGCCGACACCGGCTCGGCGCGCCTCTGCCGAGCTGCGCCAGCCCGCCGCGCTCTAGCGCTCCCAGCTGACCGTGACGTCACGCGGAAGCGGGGTGCTGGGAAGGCAAGGCCGTCTGGTGCATGGGCCTTGGCGAAGAGGTCCGACCGCGGTCAGGGGCCGCGCGTGGGGGCGCGGCCGTGCCGCTGGACGCCGTTCGTCGCTCTGATCGCGAGCTGAGGAAGGCGGTGAGGGGACAGGAGGAGCACGGGCTGGGGGGGCGGCCGTGCCCCAGTTGCGACGGCACGCACCAGTTGAATGACATCTCACTTGCCGCGGTTTTGTGAGCTTTTTCCGTCCACGTCGACTGGCGCTGGCGGAGGAGCAGATGAGCAGATGATCGCCATTCCAGTGAGCGATGAGGCGCAACGCTCCCTGTGTATTCCGCCTGGAAGCAAGGGAACAGCCGTGTGCCGACCTGGGCTGTCGGCCAATGTGGCATCGCCACCAGCCCCACCAGCCTGCAGCCGACGCGACAGGGGCGGCAAGCCGCGCCCTGGCCCGGCGGTCGCTGCGGCTGCTGCCGAGCTGATCCAGCCGTGCAGGATGTGGCGAGATTAGGACGGAGCTCGACGTAGTGACAGCCACCACTACGATCGGCACCGAACAGGGGACCTTCCACGGCCGGATTATGGCTTGGTGCTCGCGTCCCGCGTCTTGCGTTGCGTCTGTGAATGACGACACAGCTTTCGTTACTTTCCAAGACAGAGCCGGCTCCGACGAGGGCTCTTAGCCTTGACGGCCGCTCGCCGGGCGCAAAAAGGCGGCTAACTGAGTCGTAAACGTCAGCCAGGTGGAAGGCTTTTTGCTGGTGTCAGATAACGGCTCTGGGAGGTGACCGGTCACAGCCTGTAGCTACAGTACAGCAGGCACTGTACCTACAGTACAGTAGGGACTGTCGCCGACCCGCCAGCCACCACGCAGGGACTGTCCCGTTACTCACCAGGTGACTCAGTTGGGGCTGTCCCTGGTGTGCCGAGCAACGCGCCAGGAACTGTCCCTGGTTCGCCGAGCAGCGCGCTGCAGATTGTCTCTGGTTTGCCAAACAACGCTCAAGGGACTGTTCCTGGTTTGCCAAGGAACGCAAAAGGGACGGTCCCAGAGTCGCCAAGCAGCAAAGCACGGTGTTGCCGGGTTCGCACACCACACCGGGTTGCCAGGCCCGCACCGGGTTCGCACACCGGGTTGCCAGGCCCGCACTTCGCACTGTGCGGACGCCGCGAGCAAGCTTCGAAGCTTCTCGCAACCTGAAGTGGTGGCTCAAGTGTGCTACCTGTAGGATTCAAAATAACCAGTTTGATTAGCTGCCGCAGCAACATAAAGACGGCGGCGCGATTTGGGCACTTAAGAGGGCTCTCAGATGGCGGCAGTGGTGTCGTCTTGGCCTTGGTCGAGCGGCGCTGTTGCCTTTGTGTGGTTTTAAGTCGGGATATGCGGCGCCGCATGCAGGTACCAGATCTATTCGCTGGCTAAATAACGCGCTGTTTAAGTCGCTGGCTCGACACTAGGACACGGGTCAAACAAAAGCGCATCCGAGACCATTGTTATGCAAATTGCTCTAAACACACGCACGCCCGCCTGATCCGTGTCCTTGGTTGGCATCACGCAGGTAAACATCACGAATGTTGTCGAAATCGCATGCATATCGACATCAGATCGATCGTTCAACCCGCCAGAGGTTCACAAACAAGATCAACGGGCTGCTCGCCGCGGCAGCAACAGACGGCCGTGAAGCGCGGCTCTCAAACCGGTAGGCAGTGCGTTGCACCGCTACGCGGGCCGCGGGCCGCTGCGTGCGGAGTCAAAGTCCGGCTGCCGGTCATGGACCCGGCGCGTGTGACAGGTGCGGTGCACTCGAGCTGTCGCCGGGTCTGCAGCGCCCGCTGCCCAGCTTGACCATGCACCGGACACTGAACGACGGGCCGCAGCCGCGATCGGTTCCGCGTTGAGGACGTACTGCGGCCGGATTCGGATCGGGAGCCGGAGCCAGAGCTCCGAGAAACGAGACGGCCAATACCAGCCTGACAATGATCCTAGACGTGGCGTAGGCACGACGACTCATATGACTCGACATGTGACATATGATAGTCAATATATTTGTGCCGGCGCACTCAGGGATTACCTATTGGTCTTCAGCGTGACAGGCCGGGTGACACAGGTGGTCAGAGATGTCGCGCCCCACCTGCAGCCTACCGCCGGCGTGGTGCGGCCCTGGCTGCCTGCCCTGGCCGACGGTCTTCGCGCCCGGCCCGCGCGCAATCACCTGGCTATTATCGGCACCGCGGGCGCGGCGCCGCCTGCAGTGTCGGCCGTGATTCCCGGCCATGGAAGCCACCCTCCCTGCTCGGGTAATTTCCCCTAATGGCAAAGGTTTTCCGGCGGGCACGGGCGGCCGGGCGCGCCGTTACACGCCGCCCGGGGGCACGGCGTCGGCGCCGGCCGTGGCGCGGTGCAGCGCGCTGGCGTACGCGCGGCCCGCCGCCAGCTGCTGCAGACGTGCGACCTTGAACTGCAGGTGCGCTCAGCTGAGCGGTGGGCGGCGGCGGCGACGGCGGCGGCCGACTGTCGGGCGGTGGGAGGCGCGCCGGCGGGGTTTCCGCTGCCCCCGCACGTCGGGGCTGCCGTGCGAGGCAGCGGGGGGGGGGGGGGGGGCATTGCTCAATCGGTCGCTTGCGTGACCCGGCCACAGGATTGGGCCCGGTTCGGTCGCGTCGGGGGAGTGGGCGCAGCCTGTGTGCCGCTGGCGGGGACGGTCTGCAGGCGCGCGTCAAAACAGACCGACGCCCGGCTGTGTGACGCGGGTGACCTCGCTGGCGCGCGGATAAGACGAAAGGCCACGGGAGCCGCGCGGGAACCTCTGCGGGTCGCAGATAACACGCATTAGGAGAGCGGCGGGAAGTCGCTGTCGCGTTCACGTTACAAAGCAGCCGCGGGAACTCCGGGAGTTTTAGCTCCACGTTCTTATCCGGCGACTTAGCGGAATATTATTCGGAGTCGTCTTGTGTCTTCCCGGAGAAGCGGGCGGCTGGGTGTGACGGGGGCTGGGGAGCCGAGCCCGCGTCTGGTGTTGGGCCTCTCGTACAAGGGAATGTTTCTCGTGAGAACGAATGAGAGGGGTGCTGGAGGAAGGGGCCAGGTCCCCATGGAGGGAAAATTTGTTATCATGTTATGGACCTTATGCAACATTGAAGCCTTTTGAGGGAACAAACTCTCGGTGAAATCTGAACCCTGATGCCTTCTCATGTTTGTTGCACCAGTTGTTCGCGCTGACTCACGGAGAGCGAAGAAGAGTGACGGAGCGCTTCGTCACCATCTAAGGCAGAGCACACCCCAGCGGTCCCCCATCTGCCCCTCCCATTTCCGAGCGCTGTTGTCGCGGGCTCGTGCGCTCTGAATTCTTCAGCTCTGGCTGGGTCACGCCAGCGCGTTCAAAGTCTGCCGGGGGAGGACACATGCCCCATTGTGCGGCACGACATGCGATGGTGGCCGGCGGCACTCGCTGGGTGGGAAGACGCGGCTGCGGCTGCGTCGGAAGGCAGTGCTGAATCGCAGCCGAGCAGGGACGGCATCGCCGCCAGCGCTCAGCTCTGTTTGTAGCCCAGAGCGGTGCGCGCTGCTCATTGGTCCCTCGGACCCGAACGGCGCAATGCCCCCCCCCCCCCCCTCTCTCAACACAATAGTTCAGCTACCACCCAGCCACACAACACAGCCACACGGGCACCCAGGCTGTGCATCTGTGTGTCATGAACTAGCGCTGTGTAGCATGACAGTTGGCAGTGGCAGCATGGCGAGACAACTGTCATGCGCTATGTAGCATGACAGTTGGCAATGACAGCATGGAGAGACAGTATGGCAATGCGGGCATGGCAATACGGGAAATGACAGAGCACGGCGGCCTTGCTTAACTCCGTCATCTTGCACATGCCGCGCCGTAATCATATTGAGTCGCGGGGATGAAACGAGCCGGGCCAACTCCGGCGCTACGGGCTAAAAGCTCGCTGCGGCGCACGCCTCGGTGGCGTGAGCGGTGCCCGTCCGTTGTGGCCGGCGCGGGGGTGACAGCTGGGTCAGCTCCCGCCGCCGCCGCCGCCGCCGCTCCCGGCCTCTGTCTCATCAGTCTCCCCGGGCGACGTGTCCTTCCTCGACCCGATGCCTCCGTGGGGCAGCTCGGCGAGAATCACCAGTGTAAACATGACCTACTGCCCTGCTCTGGTGGCATGCTGTCTGCTCCCACTGGCGAACACTTTTGCGATTAATTTTGATGAAGCGTTTTGATTTCATTGCTGCGAGTTTGGCGCAGATGTTTCGGCCTTTCGGTGCCGCGTGAGGATGACGTCTGGCGCAGGCATGTATCAATGCAGCGTGCTGCCACAGCTGCCACAGCCGCCACTGCTTTATAATTATCGTATTGTGCTGAAACTTTGTGTTTCGCTTCCCTGTGTGCCTTTTTCGCGCCAACACGCACTGCGCACCCCACGCCAACCTGTCGCTAATTCGACATGGGATTACAGCCCTGCCTCCCCCCGCCCCCCCTCCCCCGTTCGTCTGTCCCCTGCGTCGCCCGTAACATCTCGTCTCTCCTGCGTGCTGCAGCTCGCGCAAGAGGCGCTCCTCGCCGTCCGGCTGGGAGGAGGTGGGCCCGGGCCCGGGCGCGGCCGCCGGCGGACTGGGACGTCCCGTCGGCGAGATGACGGAGTGCACGGCCGCCATGGTGCTCATGTCGCTCTCGGCCAGCCCCAAGAGCCCCAAGTTCTCCTATGACAGTGAGTACCGCCCGGCGCGAGGCCGGTTGCGTCGGCGGGACCGTGGCAGGGACGTGCTAGGAAGTGCATCGGAGCTAATGCCTGCTCCGTGGACCGCTCCGACTTTGTTTCGTGGGTCTGTGGCGGCATCCGTTGACGCTGAGTCAGCCGGCCGGGCCGAGAGGGCCGCCGCCTGCAGCGTCAGCATCATGTGTACAGCCATGCTAACGCACACCAACAAATCATGTTTAATGCCATGCAACTGCACACCAGCAAAACACCCCCGCTGCCGACCGCGCCCGGCTCTGTGCGCAGCGCCAGTCATCTCTCGAAAGCCGCCATGTGAGCTGTGCCAGTTGCCTCCCGAAAGCCGCCATGTCAGCTGGACCAGTGTTCTCCCAAAGCCACGGTGGCAACATCGGTGAACTTTAGCTATGCCCGTCTGCCGCCAAAATTACAGCAAGACGAACGGTCTTTGGGAAAATACGTCGATTCGTACCGAGTCACATTAAATGAGTGGGAGCGCGTGGGCGCACGACCACGGGTCCGCCTCAGAGCGTTTCCTCGGAAGCTCTCGTAGCTGCTTACGCAGCCGTAGGTCGCCGTGGCTGCCGCGGGTGCCTATATTTCTGTTTTACCCTTGCTGTAGCGGCGTGCTGCAGTTGTCGAGCAGTGCGATGCTTCAGCGTCGGTGGTGGGCCACGCGTAACCCCCGAGGGCACGTTTACTGCCAGACACGACGCCAGCCTTGTTAAGCTACTGCGCCTCCTGTTGGAACGCTTTGTTGTTTGAGCAGAAGACCTGAAACGGTGAGGATGCTGCACCACATGGTGGCACACGCTCTCTTCTGTCTGGGAGGTCAGGAGGCGCAGATCATGCTGGCCGTCGTATAGGATGACCACCGAACGGCAACGGCGATTAGTCGTGAGGACCTAAGCTGCAGGCAGCATCGTCAAACGAACACTACACAGCTTCTTGTATACACTCAAACCCTGAACTGGACAAGTTGCTCAGGCGCAAATAAACGAAGGATTTGACCCGCTTCAAAACCAAAAATATATACAGCATATACGTATATGATAATACATGTGTATAGTATCTGTAATGCATATAAAAACCGATCTGGGCTATGTATACCG